AGTTAGCAAAAGCTGTGTACATTTGTACCATGCTGACGTGGTATAAAAGTGCATATTACCACCAGTTTTTAAATGCAAATTGTAACATAAATGCTCCGTAGGAAACTACCATGCCTCAACATATTGAGTAGAAAAATGTTTTGTCAAGAGAGGGAAAAAATGCAGTGTCGAAACGTATTTTCTCGGGGTTTTTTGGCCCAAAGGCCTTCCATACTCCTGTGCTGACGTGTAAAGTATAATCAAGATATCTCTTGAGAGAGATGGAGTTATATTGCGAATGTTGATTAAAAAAAAAAAACATAGTTCTCAAAAACCCCATGATTTTTCCAATACTTTCTGGTATTTTTTTTTTCCCCATAACCTTTCCAGGTCTGGAAAATATGATTTCTTGATTCCATGATTTTTTCCAGGATATTGATGACAGTACAAACCCTGATATGTACATGACAATGGTCAATATAACCTTAATCCCACCACATCTATCTGTATACCAATAAAAATTACTGTTTACCAGCCAGCTGTAGCTAATACATGTATTCGAAAAATAAAATTACTTGGGGCTCTATTTTCCACCTGTGCAAAAAGCAACTCAGAAGCGATTTTGGTAGTTTCATACCAGCACATTGCTTATTTTCACACCATGTGCACACGTCTTCAAAATGGTAAATGATTTTTTCTGCTTGTCGGAGTGCTGTTTTTTTAAATGAAGGCCAGGCGCAAAACTATTTTAAGCCAACGCATGTCATTGCGTTTTTTATCAACAACTACAAAAAAGCACGTCTGAAGTCCCTGGCACATTGTTAAATGGTATTTAAGCAGTGCCTTTTAGAAACGTGTGGGTGCCTTGTGCTCATTACGGACACAGGTATGACCTTGAGGTGCACTAATGGTTTTTTGTTTTATTTTATTTCACTTAATTTCATTAATATTGTAAAAAGTCTTGAATTCATTATCAGAATTAAGCATGTACTGTAAATGAAAGGACATCTGGATTGCTGAAAAGGCATTTCAGATATTTAGATAAGTCAGGTGGAACATTACAATATAGCCCTCAGAAGGTTGCAGCATTCTTTGTGGCATGCTGTATGTTGCGTGACATTGTCATGCACGATGGATGTCTGTTGGACTTAAATGAGAAAACATTAGAACTGTAGAAGTTGTAATGTTGAACTGCATGTGTCGATGCCAAAGGCAGCAGCACGGGCAAGGAGGGAACTGCTGGCAGAAGACCTGAATCGTCTGTAACCTGGTAAAAAATCTAAATTGTGAGTTGTAGAAAAATAACAGCCCTATTACCTTTTGTTTGAACATTCTAAAAAACCTAAAAAAATTTAGATTGAGGTTTGTATGAACAGAGATTGCACTTTTATTTTGCGAACTGCAGACCCACGTTTAAAATAAACACACAAGCATAAGCAACTCCCCATTCCCTGCCGCTGCTCTCATTCAGCAGTGACTTCAAAAAGTTACCAAAAGTACAGAACTTGAAGGTGTTGGTTTTCCACTGGTGTAAAAATTGGTACCAGGGCCAAATGACATAACTCGAGGCAGGGTATTTTGTACTGAAATCGGAAAAATGGCTGTAGCAAGACTGGACGATGTGCAATATTAAGACCAGTGTTTCCCCTACCATTATATTAGGGTTGTGCCCCCCCCCCAATGGCACCTCCTGCCCCCTTTGAAGGTCAAGTTAATTTTATTTTATTAAATTTTCTATATAGCGCCAGATCACAACATAAGTAATTTAAGGTTACCTTTCCTATAGAACAGGTCTATAAATTGTCCTTTTATTAAACAAACTAAATAGCTTTATGTTATTTATCTTATTTACACACAGCTTGTCATTTTTGTCTCTACACGGTCGCGCGTTTACAATTCTCCTCTGCTCTCTGTATTGCGCATAGCGGAGTTCCGCCCCGATGCACGTGCACAGACACATGTGCGCACACAGGTGAGCACACTCCCACCAGCGGACAGAGAGCGCGTGTCAGAAAATATGTTGCGTCAACCACCTGAAAAGCAGACAAAAATATCTGCATTTTTTTAATGCAGTCATTAAAAGAAACACATGAACACCATGAATCCTGTCGGTGTCCCCCCCCCCCCCCCCAAAGCTGTAAATCTAGAGGAAACACTGAAGACCAACAGTGCATGTTATGCACATCCAATTGTTACATTACCAGTCAGCTAGATTAAGGTCAGGCTTTTTCTTACCTTCAACTTGGTACAGATATTATAGTGCAGGGAGTTTAAGTCTCCCTAAAACATTTTCATTCTCATTGGGGGGAAAAAAAATCTAGCAAGTTTTTTTTTTATTTTAATGATTATTCCTTTTCAAGATTATCTACTATATGTTTAAGAATCAGTTTAAAGTTTACCTGCTTTTGCATGAGCATGCAGGCGTTCTCTGAGACAATCAATCATTTTCATCCATGCTGTTTAAATTACTCCTAGAGAGGTTCATGAGAAATTTATGTTGAATCCCTTTGTTTCATAAATAGAGTGGTACCTCGGTTGTCGAACTTAATCCATTCGAGTTCTGATCGAATTTTCCCATAAGAAATAATGGAAAACCAATTAATTGATTCCTGGTCCCCCAAAATTACACCTAAATATGGTTTTGTTTTTCTTTTTTTAGCATATAAACACAAAATGAACAGGATAAAACAAGAAGAGCATTTTTTTCTTAATGGCTTCCAAAACGATAAAGATTACCCCTGTCCTGCCCCGATCGTCCGCTCCTTCCGTGTGCCACGCCCTCTCATTAACCTCATGTGGGATCCCCATGTGATCAGCTGATTCTGGTTGTTGTCATTAGTCCTTTGTATTAAGTCCAAGTTTCAGTTTGTTTCCCCAGTCCGGTCATTGGGTGCTGGCACGCTCGGTGTGGATAACCCCAGCCCCAGTCATACCAACCGTAGCAAAAAGGAGTCCACCGATTATGATGACGACAGCAACCTTTCTGCAGGTTAGTAGTAGGCTAATGTAATGTTAAATTAACATTACATAGGTGGCGCATGTTTTGTTGTTGTTTTTTGTATTTACATATATATTCATATATACTTTAAACTTTTAAGATATTGTTAAATTTTAAGCATTCAATTTTTTGTTCAATAAAAATTTATTCTTGAGTCATCCACCATCATCTTGTGGCTTTTGTAAAGTATCGGTTCAGGCACCGGTACCATTTTAAAAGTATCGATTTGGCACCGGTATCGAAAAAACCCCAAACGATACCCAACCCTAGATGCACATAACTGGTACGCAAGTACGCATTCACTTTTATAAGCGATACTTGTGGCAATCAATTGTTGTAACAGCTCAAATGTGTTTGTGTTTTAAATGCATTTGCTCAGCTATGACAAGAAATCATAAAGTAAAAATTGGTATATATAAAGGGTAAAATGCAGGATAATTTCTTGTCCAATCAATGCAAATGCACATAAAATATATATGCATTTGCACTGTTACAACAACTGGTTTTCGCATGTATCGCTTTTAAAGTTATGTGCATCCCTGAACATTCACAACAATTCTTAAAAGCTGTTAAGTTAAACTAATAAAAATTAAACAATTCCACAAAAAAAAATAGGGATCCTGCCGCTAACGTTGCTTGGGCCACTAATAATAGGACCTTTCTGTAAACAATCTGTGACCATGAAATAGGTAGGTAATTCAATTATAGCTCAACAGCGGAATCAGGGTTCCCGCTGCCGCTCGTCACTCTCGCCATTGACGAAAACGGAACCCATGGTGACGAAGAAAAACGGCATCAAATCGTCACTCTGGCGAATTCAATTTTCAAATGACGAATTTTGAATTTTTGAAAAGTCGAATTTCATTTTTTCCCAATTTTCAACCGTAGCACACGTAGGGCATAATCAAAACTGGCCCGGCGCCCCGGACACACGAACGTCAATCATCCATGTCAAATGAGCATGGGCCATTTTAAAAGTAGCAAATGTTATCGATCAGTGTGGGGACATTCTAAAACGCTTAATGTGAAAATGCTTAATGTGGTTTAATGTACCAAGACAGCCACCAAAAATCACTATATTTCTCACACATATATCTGGTCATAAACACTTTCACCTGACAAGAAATCTAAACCGAAATGCTAAGAATAAGGACTTTATACTACGTTAAGCGGTTTCCCCTCCATTGACGCCCATTATAAGGAAAAGGTTTAATGATTAATTTATTGAGAAGCGGCGAGAGAGTGACTAAAAAAACGGATGCTGAAAAAAAGTGAAGAATTTGATTAATAGAAGCAAAAATACAAAGAAAAGTGAAGAATTGAAATCAAACTCCAGGGGGAACCCTGCGGAATCAATAATTTTTTTCACAAGGGAATGTAACATTTCCCTTGGCTTTCACGTATTTGCCGTTTGTGGGCGTATCCGCAATAGAAAAGGGCCACTTCTGTTTGGTGAGAATGATTAGTACACAAGGTGGATGGTGTGAATTTGAAAAACTATTCTCACAAGTTTTAAACCGTGAATTATACATGCTGTATAATGCAAGCCCTAAATCACAGCCTATGCGATTTGCTAATCACGTTGTTTCAAATAGCAATTTCGATTTCAAAACGATAAATCATTCAGCCCTACTCTCCAAGGTCATAAACAGATACCTCAGCATGTTTTGAAAGAGTAGGGGTGATACCCTGATGTCGTGGCTAGAATTTCCCCACTGCTGGCCCTTTCAAATCTAGCCTCTTAACCATATATTTGTGGCATGTTGCATAACCATATTTCATATATGGTGAGCATACTGACACAGAATGGCTGCAGTCGCATCATCCAGGTACGTGCTACATATAGGTGGGGGTTGAAGTGGTTCCCCTTTGGTTCGTTATGTGTGTCTTGAAAAAAACAACATAAATGTAACATTCATTCATTCAAGTCTTGCATGTCTCAGAGGTGCACTGATCTGGCCACAATTTTCTCAATTTCAAGTTTACCTAATTTAGCTTAGAAAAATAGAAGTGACAGACTCACCAATCTCGAAGACCTGCGTATCTCTTGTTTGATGTCCTCCACTAAAAAGCCATAGATTCCTTCATCTTCCTCTCCACGCTGATACACTCCACTGGCCATAAGCTGGTATAGAATAATTTTAGTGTGTAAAGTAGGCCTGAACAATGTGTGAATATCGACGACGACGGGGGGGGGGGGGGTGTCACAATAGTTTACATACGTACTGCGATATGTAAATTACCATAAACGTAAATTACGTAAAGGTGCTGTGTAGACCATTCATGTACAACGCTCACCAAGCAAAAGTAGTGTACAGTAAGGTTGTGGTTCTCCAGCGTGATCTTCTCTCCATACTTGTTTGGACAGTCATCAGCAAGCTTACAGAGTTCACAACCTCGAGACGAGTAAAGTTACAACAATTATAAACACACTTTTGCACATGTTAAAAACATTTGGCAAGCTGCCGATAATTAGCTACTCGTTAAACCGCATTTTATTGGCATGGCCATAAGAATAATACGTTCATGATTATGAAACTTTCAGACGAAAACTCCGGCAAAACCACCTAGCTGCTAAAATCTATTTAAAAAGGAAGGCAGCTCGTTACTCACGTTCCTTGGATTTTGATTCGACCACTTCAGAATGCATAGTCTTTAGCATCTTCTAGACGTACTAAACACCACAAGAGTGTACCTTAAAGACTTTGTATCATTACCAACGAAAATAAAACATTAAATGCGAACTTATTACAAGCTTATACTAAGTCTACAACAATGGTATATTATAGAGATCCTTCACTCAATATATATATATATATCAACTATATATATATAGTTTTAATAAGCATAAGACATTGTAACCCGCTGAACTAACGGGTACAAAAACAAAGCAAGTATTCACGCACTGAGCTGTAAGAAACAAAGGCGTGATCTAAAATCTTACGAAAACAACGAACGGGTACATCAAAAACTAACTCAGCAGAAAAAAATATCGCAGCCAAGACTAAAACACTAAAAATATATAGGTGTTTGGTGTCACGTTAATAATATTCATAAATAAAGCGCAAGCAGTCTCTTCTCTCCAGTTCCAGCTTCTAACGACCGAAGTCTCTTGAACTTCCCTCTGGAACAAAAATTCAAATGAACACATCCGGAAACCTAGAGGAGGCGCTTACTGCGCGTCATTTTTTCCCCCAAACTCGTTCGGCGTAAATCACGCCTCGCAAGCATAACCACGCGGGCAACCATGACAAACCACGCCCGCACGTCTGACGAAACCTCAAGATTGATTTCATTGGCTAACAGTAAAAGAACTCTGGTCCGAACTGTCCCTTTCATCTTTGATGGGAGGTAAAGCTTCCTATCCGCCCAACAATGGTTATTCTGGCCAAGAATAACTCGATTTAATGAACGGCAAATATTAATTTGGCTCAAATATTCTTAGCTATTAAAGATAGGGGCTAACCCATTATTTAAATTGGGATTTGTTATGTTATGATCACTCCAGACTAGGTACCCTTAAGCTGGACGCCTTATATCATCACTCCCAGAGCAAACGTCTTCTTCTCAAAGATGTTATTGGTCCAAAGAGACCATTTTGTAATGAAACCCACATTTATTTATTCGATGAACCATTTATAATTTTGACATTCTCGTCAAAGTAAAGCCCAGCGACTCGAAGCAGGGAAGCTTCTTTCATTTACACGTATATGTAATATCACGTGAATGATACACCCGATGCGTCCTGGAGTGCTCTGGTCTGAGGTATCGAATCTCGTCAGCCCTTCGAAACTTATAAAAGCGAGGTGAAACCTTTGGGTGTCGTTCTTTTTTTTCGGTTGGAGAGACTGCTATACAGTTTGGATTATATACAGCATCGTTTGATGCAATAGTGAAAGTGGCTCGTATGTTTGGGAAAATGTTGAGTTGATGTCTCAATGAATTTTAACATGGCAAAATGCGAAATTATTATTAATTAATTATTATATTAATTTAATCTGCCAAATTAATACATGTAAATTATTATATTCGTATTGTTAATCATTATTGTATTGGTTAGGTTTGCATTGCTTCAAACATCTGCGTATGACAATGGGTCACACTCGCTATAGCCGCAGTGTATTGTGGGTCGAATCGCCATTTTGGATGTATCCGACTCAAATGCGAGCATTTGCGTGCGATATTATCTTTGGTAAGATGGGATACTCGTGCTGTGTGAAAGGCGGTCATACTAAGTCACATGGTAGAAATGGCAGAAAGGTGGACAACAACATGAGATTTTTTCGGTTTCCCACTTGGAAAAGAGGATATGGACAGGATATGGCGTCGAATGGCCTGGGTCACAGCAGTGAGACGGAAGGAGATCACTTTCAGCACGATATCTCCCTTCGTGCGTGTTTGCTCTCGGCATTTTCATAAAGGCAAGCAAAATGTTTTTTATTTAAGTAATATTACTGAATATGCATTATTTTGTCTTCTAAAGTTGGTATTTTCACATTAGTTAACCTACGCTAGCCTTACTAGGGAGGGTAGTAGAAATGTGTTAACGTGTTCGTGTTAAACTAGTGTTACAAAGTGAATGCTTTTTAAAGACAAAAGTAAACAGCAAAACTGTAATGACATGTTTATCAATGCATGTATGTGGATAAGGTTGTCATTGTGTGCTGTTCCCTGACAAACCGATGCCCAACTATGGTTTAAGTTCAGAAACATTTGCAAGTACGGTTTCTAACGTTTCACATAATGTCTGGAAGGATCTGTATAAACTCATTGTATACTGACCCTGTATTCTGCTTGCCACTTATATTTTATTTGAAATATGACCAATAAATTTATGTCCAATGACATTTTTGTGGTGTTCTTTACTCTCTTCCTTTCTTAAACACCTAAATGACTAGTGTGTTTTGATAATGAGAATTGCTTATTACTGATTACATAAAACATTACATTTTTGTGGAGAAAAAACACAATATGAAATATTAAGTTTGTGAACCAAATGTGTTTACATCCGCGATACACTCAAAATGGCGAATGGGGGCGTGTCACACACTGCAGACATGTGACTGACAAAGACCACATCCTCATCTCTGGAGCCCCCCACAGAAAACACATGGTGACCATGAATGAGAACCCCTCCCCAAAGCATCCCCACATTCTTTCTATCAAGGCCCCCATCTCCCCAATTAAAAAACCCAACAGGTGACAGTCACACGCAAGAAATTAGTTCACAATAGCACCTACTTGGCAACAATTGAACAACAATGAATTCGTCCCGGATCCATCAGAATATTTCCTTGTAAATACATAATGATTTAGATGCATATAATAAAACTGAAACACGTAGCATTTTTAAGATTATAGTTAACATAACGCAATTAGAGCCTGCTGTCATACCAGCAACATTTTTCATTTAATTCAAAAGCTGAGATGTCATTCTCAGAAAATTAGTAGATGTCTCCCTATGTTTGGAAAAAATGTACATAGCCCTGAAACACTTTCCGGCACAATATGTGGAACGCCAACCTCAAAAGCTTCGTGAAACTTTATTGGCCCATCACTAATTTTATCTTTGATACACTGGGGGCACTATTAAAATACAAAGGTGTAATCATTGGGGGGATGAATTAATCCAAATTAAATATTAGGGTGTCATTCATCGGTTCTGTGCTGTTAACCAATGTATTGTACGACAGTGACGATATGTTGCACATTGACGGCTTCGGTTCTCCCCTGAGACTTGACCAAGACACTGAGCTCACCAGCAAACAACATGGCAGCAGTGTCTGCCTTTATGTAACCAAACACTGTTGCTCAACGATCATCGTCCGGGAGGAGCTGTGCAACAAAGACATTGAACTTCTGGCAGTCTCCCTCTACCCTTTTGACCTTCCCAGAGAGTTCCCTCAGCTCTTTTTCATCCTGGTCTACATCCACCCCAGAGGAAATACAACAGCAGCCACAAAGCACATCAAAAAAACCCTGGATAATCTGGAACTCATCTCCCCTGATTCTCCTAAATTCATCCTGGGAGACATTAACCACTGCTCCTCTGACAAGTGCCTTAAAGGATATCAGCAGTACGTCACCTGCACCACCTGTAAGGGGGAGACACTGGGTAAGTGCTATGGATCAGTTCCTGGTGCATACAGATCCATCGCCCTCCCCCCTCTCGGCTCTGCTGATCACCACATCATCCTGCTAGCACCAGCCTACACCCCGTTCATAAAGAGGACAGAGAAGGTTGTCAAAAACTTCTAGCAGTGGACTAGTGACAGCATTGCATTGCTGCAATATCTTCAACCGCACTGGTGCCTCCAACACCGAGGACATTCTAAGGAGATGACAGCAGCAGCAATATCTCCTAAGGAAGCTCAACAGCTTTGGGGTCAACAAGGTCATAATCAGAACCTTTTACTACTCCTTCATTGAGAGTGTCCTCTGTTTTTCCATCACCTACTTGTATCACTCCACCAGCCTGAAGCACAGGACCCACCTGCACAGCACAGTGAAAGTCTGGTCTAAGATCATCGGAGTCCTGGTCAGAGCACTTTCATCCCTGAGTGAGCAGCAAACTCTAAGAACAGCGTCCCAGCTGCAGGACACAGAGGAGGAGAGTGAACTTTGTTCCTAGGGCCATTCAACTCCTCAATTCACAGACTTGAGTGCCTTCCTGCACTGGAACCCGTCATTCATTCTGCACTTTAGTCCCCCCATGCCCACTAACAATCCCTCCCTTTACATATCTATTCAGTTCTTATGTACCTGACTGACTGCAATTTTGCAAGGCATCTATTTGCATTTGCTGCCATCAATCTAACCTGCTGCTCCACCTGCCGATACTTCCACCCTTCATAAGAACATAAGAAATTTACAAATGAGAGGGGGCCATTCGGCCCATCAAGCTCGTTTGGGGAGAACTTAACTAATAGCTCAGAGTTGTTAAAATCTTATCTAGCTCTGACTTAAAGGAACCCAGGGTTTTAGCTTCTGCTACACTAGCAGGAAGATTATTCCATACTCTAACTACATGCTGTGTAAAGAAGTGCTTCTTCAAATTTGTTTTAAAATGTTCTCCTGCTAATTTCCACTTATGGCCACGAGTTCTAGTTTTTAAACTAATATTGAAATAGTAATTTGGCTGAACAGCATCCAGACCTGTTAGAATCTTATAGACCTGGATCATGTCCCTCCTTAGTCTCATTTGCTCAAGGCTAAACAGATTCAGCTCAGCTAACCTCTTCTCATAAAACATTCCTCTAAGACCTGGAATCATTCTTGTAGCCCTCCGTTGCAGCTTTTCACTGCCCCCCCCCCCAAAGGGGTTATCCATCCCGGAACCCCCACAAACGTCCGGAAGCATTCCGGGCAGCGCTCTCTGTGGTTGTGGGCTCTCCAGTCCCCCACCTTCCTGATCAGTCCCTGCTGCCAGGGTACTCACCACCAGTCCTGGTGATGGCTGCTCCGAGTAGGCCAGGGGCTGGTACGGCGTCAAGCAGTCACGGTGCAATAAGACAGTCCTGTGCTGCTCAGGCATCTGTCCACGCGAAACCACTTCCCTTCTCTGTAAGACTGTGCAGCGGTTTGTCCCTGGTGGCAAAAATGTCCTGGAACAAGTCCAATAAAGCCTTAAGCTTGTCCCGCTGCTCCGCCGTCAGGTCCCGGGTGCTGTACTGCCACACTTCCTGTACAGCTTGCACTGTCTCAGGAGACACCCCAACTGTGATGTTACTGTGGTCTGAGATTGGGGCATTGTGTGGGGCTGTGTCGCTGGTGCTCTTTCCCCAGGTGCTGTGGGCTGCTCCCTTCCCACAGCAAGTGGTCTTCTTCCCTCTCTGCCACCAGTCGCTGCTGTCACACTGGAGGGCCACCACATCTCCACCAAGGTGGAGAGCTGCTACCATCTCCCAGTTGAGTCAGGAGATCCAGACTGATGATGCAGGGTTTGGTAATGTCAGCGGGTCAGACTTCTTGCACCACTGTATGTCTGGCCAGCTGGATGCGCAGCTGCCTCTTTCCTTTCATAGCCATGCACACGGCAGTCACCGACAACAACTGCCAACTGGCTGGCACAGCTCCGATGGTACTCGGTAGCACACCCAGTGAATCAGAGTGATGGTGGACGCCGTGTCCACCAGGGCTTGATGGTGTCTTGGTGACCAGGCAGTCGAGGTACAAACCCGTGGCCTTGCTGAGC